TCAGTTTAAATAGTATCTGTGCAATCAAGTCAACGATATCGCTGGAAATGAAGTGTCCCCAACTAAGCAAGCCAGAGGCGACAGCGGCAAGGAACCAAAACTCCATCAGTGACAGAATGGAGAAAAAACCTTGGGAGAAACCAGGCTCAGTCGGGGGGCCAGTTCTCCTCTGGCCAGACGAAACCAGCAGTTCAATTCCAGGCTGCAGCAAAGTCACATTGTGCAGAGGACTCAACTGGTTCCTGTGGTCTTGTCCCGGTGGCCGTCTAGGAGACAAGGTCTTCACTGGGGATCTGTCCCTGGGGCTCATCTAGTAGTCCTGGTCTCCGCTGACATTCAGCACTGTAGAGGTCCTCTCTAGGTGCTGATCCACCATCTGGGGCTGGATACGTACTGGATCCGGGTGACTGCAGTGACCATCTGATCTGGATACAGACTGGATCTGGTGTGTCAATATATTGCACAAAAATATATTAAATATTTATTAATCATACACTAATTGAGGCTGAGCCTCCCTAAAATAGAAATCCTATCACCCCTGGCCTTTTCAATACCACTAAGCAGACGCACAGGGATTAAAGTTTTTCGAGGGGAAAAGAAACATGTAGCGCATTGTTGTTGTTATTCTGCCGGCACACCAAAAATCCTCCCCGCCACGGCTGCAGCTTCTCACTGACAACATAACGCCTGTGCCCACAGATCGCAATAAAATCAGAATCAGAATCTGAATTTATGAATGAATGAGCATGAGAATGAGCTTTATTGCCAGGTATGTTTTCACATACGAGGAATTAGTTTTCATGACAGAAGCTTCCGCAGTGCAACAGAAGGACAGCAACAGAACAAAAACACAGATAATAAAAGAAGAATAAAAAAAAATAAAAATAAAAATAGAACAAGTAAATAAGGAATAACAATATATAAATTGACAATTGTATGTGCAGGTATATTACAAGAGCAGTGGGGAGAGAACACAACCCTGAGGAGCTCCAGTGCTGATCGTACGGGTGCTGGATGTGTATTTTCCCAGCCTCACTAGCTGCTGCCTGTCTGTCAGGAAGCTGTTGATCCACTGACAGACGGAGGTTTGGGATGATAGTGTTAAAGGCCGAGCTGAAGTCCACAAACAGGATCCTCACATAAGTCCTAATAAACTGAGACTGACAGACTTTTAAAGATTATTAAGGGAGTTTGCAAATGTGATATTGATTTAATACAACAGTTCAATAAACAAGAAGTTAAAATTAAGTGACTTACGTTGTCTGACTATAACACTACTGCCTGATTTTGCTCTATTATGTCAACAAAATTAGTTCCAAATAAAGTAACAGCTCAGCCGCTGCGCATCTCTAAAGGCAAACACAGCGGTGTTTCATTCAAAGTGCGTGTTTAAACGAAGTGAGTCAGTGATTCATGATTACCCATTCATAAAGACAGTCACTTGCTTCATTCCTGAATGAATCACCTGTTCGAACGAATCAATTGAATGAATGATTCCGTGATAAAATCAGTGACTTTCAGTTTCATTTTTAACATAGGGCCTATAATTTCAGTTATTTAAATAATTTAATATTTCTATATTCAACATTTTATATTTAAAACATTAATCTCAACATGAATTTAATTGCACTCATGGCACCTCTGAGCCTCATTAAACGTCTGAAAATTATAGATGATGAGATACTTGTAATAACATTTGAAAAATGTCATTACAAAGGTAAAAAGAAAATGTCCCTGTAAATCACTTTAAGGAGGCAAATATCAACTGGTATTAGGAAGGCTAATTTTTTATCAGAATTTCATTATTGATCAGAAGGTGCTCCTAATTTTTTGAAATTAGGAGGACAAGCGTTCCTAATTACAAGAAGCAAAAAAACTGCTCTTAACCTGTTAACTGTCACGGGCTCACCGGTGGGCCCACTTGTTACATGTTTTAAACAGTAATATCTTAGTCTGAACCTAAAATAATCTTGACAAACTATATATCGTTTAAAAGCTTAAAGATTCTAGTTTTGATATTTGGTGACTGATTTTTGAAATATTTCACAGAGCAACTTTAATTTATTAATATGCAAGAAGGGTACTCATCAGAGTCAGAGAGTGCATTCTGACCTTTACTTTGAAATAGTGATGCACATATAAAATCATGAAAAATCTGTAAAAATCTTGATTCATTTTCATGGAGACTGTTCAAATGATAACATCCATTCTATTTTTTGAGAATAACAGGTCTAAAAGTGTTTTGAACATATAGAAAAAAACAATAGATTCTTCATTTTTGATGCATCGTGAACTATAACGCAAGTCCAAGGTTCTCGTAGTATGTCTTTTATGTGTTTTTTTTTAGGTTGAATTTAAATCAAATACTGCCATACTGCCCTTAATACTTCTGAATGTGACGTCTACTTCATAAATATTGAGGACAGTATGAAAACATGTTTCAGATCACTCAAACCATATATGGAAATGAAGGCGCCCTTAAATGGTTACTAATGGGGTTTGATGATCATCTAGTGGAAAAGCTTGGTACTACGCCCAAACAAAATCTCACTGAAAGCTCATTTTTTTTAGATATCAACCTCAAATTTGGAACATAGCCTGTTCAGAATTTTAAGTTTTGATTTTCTTTGTAAAATTTATATTTTATATGAAATATAAATATTTAAAATATTACATTTTATATTTTCATAAACTTCAACTTCCATAACTTTTTAGTTTTTTGTTCATCTTTATAACTTTTTTCACTTCTACATTAATCTGCCAAGTGTCTTCTTTATAAAGAGACCAACCTTAAGTCTGTGGTCCAAAGCATTCAAAATTTAAAACAGTTTAAGTTGGAAATGTCATTTTCAGGTCTATGCTCAAAAAGTGGAACCGACAGTAAACAGGTTAAACTGGGTGTGTGGCAGGTGTGGAATGGGGTTTGCCCGAGGAAAAATTTTCAGTCAAAAGTTGTTGTTTTTTTTGCTTTAACCCATGGACGCACCTCTTGAGTCTGTGTAATCTGCATGTCATGTAACATGTGACATAAATTGTTGAGATTATTTGAAGTTCTTGGTAACACTTTAGTATAGGGACCAGTTCTCAATATTAAAGGGGTCATATGATGCGATTTCAATTTGTCCTTTCTCTTTGGAGTGTTACAAGCTCTTGGTGCATAAAGAAGATCTGTAAAGTTGCAAAGACTAAAGTCTCAAATCCAAAGAGATATTATTTATAGAAGTTAAGAGTCAACCACGACTACCTAAAATGGCTCGTTCTAACACGCCCCCACATGTCTACGTCACTATGTGGGAAGATTTGCATAACGCCACCCAAATGTTCACGCAAAGAAAGAAGGTGTAACTTTTATTCTCGCTGTAGTATTGTTGTTGCCGCCGCCGCCATGTCGTGAAGGCGCTGTGTGCTTCGTTGTGAAAGCGAAACTACTTTGTTTGG